TGAACCGCAGGGAGGCCAGGCTGCGGGAGGGAGAGCACTGTGTTAGCAAAGAATCACCCTCGCGTTCAGATCTCTGCAAGTGTTCAACAGGAATATAATTGCAAGGGAATAGTCTACAGGGTGCTTGGTTCAATACAGAGGGGGAAAAAAAATACGAAAAATTATTTGCAAGGAAAGGAAAGTTACTTAATCTAAACATGCGGAAAAAAGTTGGCAAATTCCAAATAAGACAACCAAATGGCACTGCATTTCTTTCTGGAAGCAAGCGTGCAGACCAGTAAAACCACTGAAAGCACACATGCAATAAGACTATATCAACAGCAACAATGAGCCTGCGTGGAAAAACAATTTATCTTCACCAAGATTTTTATAATTTCATAAAGAATCTTTATCTTCAAAAAAGCAGGGAATTTACTTGAAATGGATGCAAGAAAACAGATTGAGAAATGAGAAACAAATTAAAATCACAGTGGAAGTGAAAACAAAAAAAATGTAAAAGACATTCAAGATAAGGTTTGTAACAACAGCAGTTCTCTAAACCTTCAGCTCAAACAAAGCAGACAAATTAAAAATAAACAGTAATGTCAGACTAAGGTTCACAAGCCTAAAACCCCCACCCACTACAGCTCCAGTTATGTGCTTGTTATCTTGGTAAACAATCTCCCAGATAAATACGGTGGGTTTTTTTTCCCTGGAAAATAGAAGGGTTTGAGTCAGACTTTTGTTTCCTGTGTTTGTTAAGATTTTCAAACCTTAGAAGTTTTTACCCAGGTTATCGCAGGAAGAAAAAAATACAGAAACCCCATTAGAAAATAAAAGGCTGTGAGAAATGTTTTGCTCGTAAATAATGGTTATTATCTTGCCAAACCCTCAATCATGCAAAAAGTAATGCGTTTAGGTTAAAATGACTGAAACGTATCAATGGCAAGAATGAGTCTGCTCTAAAAGAGTGGCACAGCTCAATTTAATATAAAAATTCTGCTCAAGATGTGCCTTTTGAGTCTCATATTTAGAGTTGTTACGGTGGTGCTTCAGGTGAACAAGGAAGGAGGAAGGATGCCCCCCCGGAGGCGTACGCACGCAGGGAGGGTGGTTTCCACAGTGGAGGTAGCTGGCTGCAGGTGTCAAGGAAGCATTTTTTTTTTCCTTCAGGTAAACGGAGCCATGTTTCAATGCATCCACAAAGTACAGTTCGTAATTTCTTGCAGGCATTTTGGAAAATACAAGGTAAAACCAGGGAAAACGATGCACTTCCCAAGTACATAGGGTACATCTGGATCAAGCAGGAAAAAAACCATTGGTCCGGGATTTTATTTTTTCTTCTCTTAAGTCAAACAGAATGAAACAAACAAAAAAATTGACGTACCACATCGTTACTATCATTTTTACTAGGCAGGCTGCCTCCACTGCCCGGGGTAGCTGGCGTCCCCAGCTTGCTCTCCACCAGCGGTGTTTTGCCAGCACACACTTTACAAGAGGGCTGGGACCACCCAGGCACTCTGGCTTCTCCGCCACCCCAGGATTCAGAAGGCAGAACACCTTCCTGCAGATTCCTCTTCTTGATCTTTTCTCGCAGATCTCATGGGAGAAGAACTGGTCTTTTGGCTAATTATGTACTGTAAAGATTCGTGTAACAGAGGCAGGTCTCAGCTTCTACTGATTTGTGGAAGAGGTTGAGACACTGAGTCTTCTAGGAGTTAGCTACCTGTGAGCAATTTCAACAGGCATCAAGACTTCTGACACAGTTTGATCTTGGCCAGACTGAAATAAATAGGCTAGGCACATCCGACAAGGCTGTTGAGGAACCACCAGCTGTGTAGGGTGTGCAGAGGTCCCCAATACCAGCAGAGGCAATGCGCCTGCTGCCTCTTCTTCAGCCTGCAGGTACATGTATTCCTCTCCTGGTTCTTGGGAAAGGGACATTGCGTTTGGAGTCAAAGCCACGACGGGGTCACTGTGGTGGCAAAAAGCAGGACGAGCACTGCCTGCCATGTGCAATGGGTGCAGGGACATGGTGCTGCCACGGCTTCCGAAGGACACAACGTGCTCATGTCGTGCCCCTCACTGGGAGCACCTGAAGATTTACATTTACTCGCATATGTTTGTTCTTGCACCAGTAGTTCCATTAATTGCTTTTGGGCAAGGTTGTAACAGCAGGAAAATGGGAGCAAGTGTGAATATCTGACTGGGCTACCAGTGCCTGATTTTGGAGCCTCAGTAACAGGCATATGTTGCCATCTCTGTGCAAGATTAAATCCAAACCAGAAAGGCAGTAGCTGGATGTGTGACCTTAGCCACAACTGGAGGAAACATCAGACTCAAGAGGCTCTTGAACAAATGAAGGAGTAACAATGTGTGGCTATATTGGCAGCGAACAAAACCAAAGGAATCAGTTCTCAAATACGTGCATGAGTTTAAAACTAATAATTGCAAAGCTGCTAATGCAGTTCAGTGACAATGGATTGATAAGAAGCTTTTTTACTGAAAGTATGACAGCTGCCAGTGAAACATTTCTTCAGAATGGCAAATATAGTGAGCCAGACACCATCTAGGAAGCCCACGTTTCAGAGCGACTAGAAATGTATTACTAAGCAAGTCACCATGGGTAGAGCTGAGTGAGGAATACATGAAGCAAGCCCTGGCACCCACACCTACTGAAACCAAGAATATAAATGAGCCAGTAAGTATGACCTAGAATATAAAATGATTTTGAAAAGCTTTAGACTTACTCCTGAGGGCTGCTGGTAGTGCCCCAGCTGCTGAAGGCTGTGGGGCACAGCCTGGCTCTCGCTCAGAGGTGGGCTATACACCCGCTGGATAGCCGGAGGTACCGGATCAGGCAGAGATGAGTAGATGACGCTTTGCTGGCTGCTTTGGGAGTCTGAATACACAGTGGACCCCTGGCCACTGTCGAATGTGCTGTCAGCTGAAAGAACAACATTTTTTACTAAAAGCTCAACATCTCCAAATGTTCAAGTAATGATTTTAGAGCAAGGTCAACACTGGTTTATGTCATTAGCATTTTTACTGTCCTAGCTCTTTCCATTATATAAATAAATCATGCAACACAAATGTTATTTTCTACAAAAGGCACATGCTGCTTTGCTTAAGCCAAAACCCATCCCCATGGATTTCTGCGCACGACAATACTTTAGGCACGTGGATATTTCCTTTAAAGGGCATAAGGTTGACACTAAGAATTGCAGATGTTTATAGATTTTGTAGGATGAAAGGAAAGGAAACCCCAATTGTAATGTCCATAGCAGATCATGGAATCTTTTAGTGCTAGATCTCCCAGGGATGCACTGGCTTTAACACCTTTTTTTTATTAGTAGCACTGAAAAGTACAGAATTCCTTATATTCTACACTCTATTAGTTCAGCAATCATAGAATAGAATCATAGAATGTTTTGGGTTGGAAGGGACCCCTAGAAGTCACCTAGTCCAGTCCCCCTGCAGGGAGCAGGGACACTGCTAACTAGATCAGGTTACTCAGAGCCCCGTCCAACCTGGTCTTCAAAGTTTCCAGGGATGGGGCCTCCACCACCTCTCTGGGCAACCTGTTCCAGTGTTTCACCACCCTCTTTGTAAATAATTTCTTCCTTATATCCAGTCTAAACCTACCCTGTTTTAGTTTAAAGCCATTACCCCTTGTCCCGTCACAGCTGGCTCTACTAAAAAGATTTTCCCCATCTTTTCTATAGGCCCCTTTTAGATACTGAAAGGCCACAATCAGGTCTCCCTGCAGCCTTCTCTTCTCCAGGCTGCACAAGCCCAACTCTCTCAGCCTGTCCTCATAGGAGAGGTGCTCCAGCCCTCAGATCATTTTTGTAGCCCTCATCGTTTAGGTTGGAAAAGACCTTTAAGATCATCAAGTTCAAATGATACCTTATTTGAGTATATAGCAATATCTCAAGATGAAGAACAGAAAACAAAACAGTTTGCAGGTTTTCAGATTACTGGAAGTACCAATAATTGAAACTGAATTGAAAACCAATTGAAATTATTATAGGAGTACCATTCAGCGCTGGGTTGGAGTTTCTCATGCAGAGCATTTGCCCAGTTCACCTACAGAACTGCACAGCTATGGGCACTGGGCAAGCATCCTATCTTTTCTCAAATGGAAATAAATCTTTTAACTGTACTGTTGAGCATTACTGATTTAAAAATGGATTTTCGTGACTTTTGAAGCCTGTAAAGTATGGATGACCAGTTCTTCTTGAGCATAAGCTACCATTTTCTCCATTTGAGAAATTAAACGAGACAATCAAGACGGTAGCTGTAAGTACACAAAAGACAAGTAGCTTGTATCAAAGATTTAAACCTCAAAACTGAAAGAAAACTGTAACACAGTTACAAAAAATTGGCTTAAATTACAGTTAAGTTTAAATGCTATTTCTTTTTCCAACACTTTCCATCTTCTCTTTTTTTTCCGTATTCCAAATAAGGTTTTTGCTTATTTGGCTTTTAAGTAACAAATTCTTTTTTAATAGCACCCGAGATGACATTTCTCCTCAGTACTTACAAACTATTCTCCCAACTGTTCTTTTGCAAAATTAAACTCCCCTCTACATTTATTCAGCTCATTTCTAAACAGAGTCAGCATGGCCCTCCTCTAAGGCAGCAGGGATTTCTGCCGCATATATGCTTCCATTTTATTACAAACAATTTTTTAAGATCTGAAAGAAGAAAAAAAAAGTATGACGGTAGAGTGCTGAAATAAAAGCTGTGAGTCAGTCTTAGATTTTTATAGAACAACATGCATTACACACATGAAGTTACTCATTAGCATTTTTACATTTGACCTCAGGTTATTATATGATTTGGTAGAGCAGTGATTTATAGAGGTCTTAGACATCAATAAGAAAATGTTCAAAGACATCTGATAGTGAACTGTCGAATAATACCAAGTATTGGTTAAAAGTTGAGGAGGAATTGGAAATAAACCCAGGGGGGTTATGTTTAGTATAAAATTCTGCCAACTTATGTCCAACAGAACTATGGGAAGCACAGGTAGCCTCATTGTACCACTGGAAACAAAAAGAGCCACGATTACGGTGTTTCTCAAAGGAACAGATAGCATGAAATAAGTATATGATCCAAAAAAATGAAATGAGACCAATTTAGCTTGAGAAAAAAAGCTCTGTAAATACTGCAATATTCCACGTGTTATGCAAATATGGCCATTTCTCATATCTTGTACAGGTTTGTTTTCTTGCAGACGCATGCTTGGTTATTTCAGTATTCAAAGCAGACCTCTGTATAGCAATTTATACAATACCTGAATTAAAGCAGCAGCTGTCTCTTTGCTAAAGATAACGCATCTTTAATTTAAATATGCTTACATAAAAGTCCAGAACAGCACAACAGAAACATTATGATAATAGTTTAGTAGCAAAATATGTACATCAGATTTTATCAGAAAAACTGGCTAGGAAAAAAAAAGAAAGAACTCTCATAAAATTTCAAATCTTCCAAGCTAAAATTATCTGGCAACATTTCCTTCAAGATGTTTAAAAGTATAAATAGAGTAAGATTTCAATACCAGAGCTTGACTCGGTAACAAAGGTTGATTTTAGAGGACAGGGACAAGTTACCTTATGGAAGAAAAAAGGCTACTTCCTCATGCCTTGCAGTTTGCTGGAGTTAAGCCTGATGCTCAGAAATAAAATGAAGAAACAAGCAGCTCCACCAGCAAAGCCAGGCAGTTTCTTATTCAGAGACAGACCAAAATCAGCGCTTGGAATTAAAACAGGAGATGTAAGTCCTCCTGTCTTGAAATAGCCCCGTGATTACTCTTGAACCAGCTCCCAGCTGAATGTAAAGAGCTGACAGATCATTGGCTTGTGGCTACTGGGGCCTGGGCGAACGAGAGCATCCATCCTCTCTAACCTGCTGTAAGGATGATCAAACCACCCCCATGCTCCAAGGCATGGGCTCAGGACAAAACAGAGATCCTGGAGGAACAAGGGAGAGCCCCTGAGCCACGACCTAAGGACCCCACTAATAATTACAGGGGCAACCCACAATGCCCAGTGCTCCCAACATGCATGGCCAAACCACAGCTGGTATTTCTCACAAAACAGGGAAATCTCGAATTCCATCAGAGGTGGATTTTATTTTTTCTGCTGCAGGCCTTTGTACAGCTTCACAAAAAACTTCACGTGAGCCATCAAGAGTAACTCACAAAACTGAAGAAACTGCAGCACTTTGGTTTCAGCAAGGTCTGCTTTTGAATTACTATCTCCACATTACCAATGTAATTTGAAAAAGCCACCAGTCACTCTGACCAGTTTGGTACCAATTCAACTTCCGCAGGCTCTGGTTTCACACAAACTTGGTGTTGGTCCTGCCACCCGGCACAGAAAACATGTATTTTTTGTGTCTTGCAGCACCTCTCCTTGCTTTTCTATTTAAAAATATATTGTTTTCTGCATTTATTGCTACTAAAGGAGGAGCTATCTCTATATAATATAGTTTTTTCTTGAAACTTTATTTCTTTCAAAATCGCTATGGGTCTGAGACACCCATGTTCTTTGAGCTACTGTGCAAAACCTTGCACAGCAGCTGTCTCGCCACTGAGCTCATATTATTGGTGACTTTTACCCTCGGCCACTCACCACCGTGTGCGCACAAAGGCAGAGCAAGACTTACAGGCAACAGACGTGACGCTGGTGGGCAGGTTTTGCTGAAAGGGATGCTGGTCTGCCTCAGGCTCCTCCGACTCCGACAGGACATGGTGACCGGTGTGAGAAAGGTAGGTGACCTGAACCTGCTGTGCATGTGGCGTCTTCAACTTCTCCAGGCATTCTGAGTCCCGACGTTCCTCTGATTGCATTCTAGGCCAAATTCTCTCTCTTCTCCATAGTATTAATGCTACTCTGTCACGTATTGACTTCGCCACTATCTTGAGATCATTTTCATGAAAAAATCCAGAGTCAATCTACAGAGGAGGCACAAATGTATCAAGATTATGCATGCACAGATGTGCATGCACACAAAAGAGGGGAAAAAAAAAAAAATCTTTGACAAATGCTCTTTGAACAATGCAACTGGAGTAAACCACACTACCCTAAATCAGAATTTATTGCCTTAACCTTTCTGGTATACAGCGTTTCCCAAAGTGCTGTGCTTGGTATCACAACAAGTCACGAAGGAAAGATGTTAACAGAATTTCAGCTCAAATTTCGCTTCTCTTAAATGGTGAAGTCAGTCAGTATTGATTGACTCTAATAAAGAAGCAGCCTAGCATTGAGTCAAATGCAGACTGTTGACATTTGACTGAAAAGGGGACCAGGCTTTCTCAGAATTCAACCACTCAACAGATAAAATGGAAATTCATCTTTGTGCTATTTGTTTGCATAATCTCCTACAGCATAGGGTATGAATTTTAGTTTAATAATGACCAGATTTGTCTGCTCTCCGTACATTTTTAACATCCATATTCTACAGATTTGGAAGCACTTACATACATGGAGGAAATCTAGAGGTTTTCCTTCTTTGCTCTTGCCCAAACACGAGGCAGTTCTACAGCTTACACTTTCACTGTTTAAAATTAATAGGCGCAAAGCAGCTTAAAATACAGCTGCAGATGGATATGGGTATTTTCCACTGCCTATGCCCTCAGACCTCACTGACGTTCCTGAACAGATGATGCAGCAACTGCTAACAACAACAGGGAGTTACTCAAGAGAAGAACCACCTGGGTCCAGAGACCGTGTATGGCATTAGCTAACGTGCTCAAAAGATTCTTCACGTAAAAAGCTTAATGGGAAGGCACTGAAAACCTGCCACATTAACAATTTTTTAAACAATACTTATTCCTACATCTCTATGTAGGGAATGGTTAAAATTTAATGACGACATGCTATTTTACAGTACCCACTGGTTGTGAAAGGTAACTTCAGGTTGCAAACCCTCCAGAATGTTTCAAATTCCTTTTGCCCACATTATTTGGACAGGCTGGAACGGCCGACTACTGAAAACCCATCAATAATGATAAATTAATTCCCTGTACTCAAAATCAAAAGGTCTCCTGAATTCTCTTCCACAGCACGTAAAGCAACACAAACTGATGAAATCACATGGCTTTGCTGTCCTACAATTCAGAAGGGCTGGAAAAAGCCATCTAGGAATAAACGTCCCCCTTTGTCCACTCTGCCAACAGCCTCAAGTTTGAAAGCATTTCACATGCAGTCACTTAGATAACTGTTCATGTAAAACACAGGGTTTTAAAATTATTTGGGAAAGGGTATAGTATCACAGTAGTTTGAGAGTGATCCTTTCAAATCTACTTTTCACAAGAATTATTTTCTCTTCAAAACAAAATATCACAACTATGGGCCAAGTAACCTACAGAACTTCAAATTTCCAAATATTTCCATCAATATTTAAAGGCAAAATATGACAGCAAGTAACTGTACCAGAGCAACTTTTAAATGAAATGGGTTCTGTAACAACACGTTGCTCGAGAAATATTGGACCTACTGCAAACGGCAAGAAAACAGGGGAGCCTGCATTTCTCCCACTAAATTTGGAGTCCATGGTGATGAGTCCAATCAGAGTAGGGTGACATTACCAAAATGAGTGCATCCTAAGCAGAACAGGAGTGGTGATGACAACATCATTAAATGGGATTGCTTGGGATTTAGATTATAATAGGAACAGTTCTGCAAGCACAAGAAAATTCAGACCCTTGACTCAGTGCTTACTGATTCTGTGTCTCCATGGTGTTAGAAAACCTAAACAACTGCAGTAAAGACATCATTAAAATACAAGTTCAGGGACCATATAGTGAAACTAGGAACACAAAATAGTTTTTCTAACAAACCCCCACAAGTTTACAAAGATGCAGAAATTCACCAAGTTCAATTTATCTGTTAAAAATCCAAAGCTTATTCCTAACCCTGTGCAGTGGGCTCTAGTTTCCAATTTCTATTCGGGGACTGGGTGGCTGACCACAGAATTCCCTCACCTACATTCCTCCTAAGCAACACCCTCAGAAAAGATGGAAAAAAGTGTTTGGAAGAATTCAGTGCAGAATATTTTCTGATTGAACTTTCAAACTCTTCTAATTTATTTCAAGCTGCTGTCCCAAACAAAACCGTTTCAAACAAATTTAAAGACATTCAACAGCTAACAGAAATTGGCAAAAGTTTTCAAAATATGAAAGTAGGAGAGACCTCTATATGGTCCCTAAGCTTTTTGAAGTGCTATTTCATGCATCTGCTTTCATACTTCGTAAACAGTATTTTTCAGTTATTAGTTCTTCACCGTTTACCCCATTCTAAAAATCAATGCAAACTGCTCAAACCAGACACCTGGGATGGTTTACGTGGGAGTTACTTTACCAGACTCGTTCCTGCTGTCCTCTGAGATTTATGCACTACTTATATATATACATTTTTGTCAGGAGAAGTTTATTTTACCATTTCTTGTGCAACATCATCAGGAGTTTCCTTCTCCAGATCAAAAGTAAACTCAATGGCTCCATTATCTTTGGGTTTTCCTTTCAGTTTCTTAGGATCTTCTACCCAGAGTCTTAAGGCAATAGAGGATTTCCTACCATGGTCTTCTTCTGCAAGTTCCACTCTTACCCCAGTATCTTCAGCGAAAAAGGCATGGCTTAATAAATCTTTAATTTCGTATCTGCAACAGATATAAAGAATATTCAAATACCACAAGTCTTAAGCAATTTCAGAGAGGTTTGTGACAGAAACTGCTGTTAAAGGCGAAAAAGTTTACAGTATGTTTGGTGTTCATCCATGACAGATTTGTTTTCTTAGCAAAAAGACACAGTATGTCCAGCGTTACTGAGGACTGCTGAAGAAATGGTGCTTCCTATTTCACAAAGCTTCGGCGATATTCATACACCACAAGCACGTACAGAAATGCAGATTATAGCTTTGCTCAACTTTTGTGCAGTGTCTGAGCTTAAAGAGTACTAGAAAAGAGGTGCCCTCTAGGCACAGGGTTGAGGTCCCTAAAAACTGTATTTGTGAAAGTTATGAAATACCAAAGAGTAGGCTCACTCATCTAGGAGAGGCCAGCATAAGATTGGGGTTTAAATCCAAAGCTGGAAACAAAGCCCTATTTGTCTCCATATCCGGAGGCTACTGAGTCAATGGAATCTGCTATAACAGCGTGGGGTGAATCTACCATGACGCATTCATGGTCGACCTCCACCATGCTTGATGCTCCATGCAGAACCTCCTGAGTGAGGTTTTTACGGGCAGCTATGCCAGAACGGGCTAGCATAGCGCGAGCTCACATGTCCACAGTGATGCTTTCTGACCTTATTCTTTGAAGCTGAGAGGTTGAGACACACAGTAACGGCATTTATTCAATTATCCTGACATTATATGGCAGGAAATCTGGCAATCATTCATATTTGTATTTCCATTCTGCATTTCCTCCTGCACAGGGGAGACCCAGAGGCCGCAACAGAAGTCTCTGGACAGCTTTGAAATCCGTGCATACACATTACTTAGCACAAAACTTGATTACTTGAAACAAACCTTTCTTCTTTATTTTTGCAAATGCACTCCCCAATTATTTCCTTAATTTCAGGATCAGTAACTTTCTCAAAGCTTGCTGGCTTTATACCCTAGAAGGATAGAGGAAAAACAGTTTAGTCTGAAAAAGAATTACATTTTATCTCTTAATTAAGGACATTTGCCCTACATTTTACAGTCAATTCAACCTTTGGAGTAACTAATACCATAAAGATGTTAGTCTTAATGCAAAACTGAATGGAAGATTTAGGGCCACCATATTTTTAAGTTCAAAATAAGCACAGTAGTTTGTACAGGAACTCAGCCTACACAGGGCAAATCTCCCTTTTTCTTCACTATCCTTTGCAAACCTTACCTTTATATCCTGTGGACTCTGAAGGCAATATTCAAGAAACAGCCAATTTTAAATTTTCAAAGTAACTCTTTTCTGAAATGATGCCTTTTATGTTTTTTGCCTTAACTCTCAAAACACTAGATGAATGAAGGTAATTAGTCATGTTTTTCTTCAGATAGCCAGTTTCAAGAACGAGTTAAAAATACCTTGGAATATTCCGTATTCCTGTTTCCTACAAATATTTTGCTTTTCTATGTCCCAAACACTCTCCCCACACCCTGGCCCCTCCAACAAAGCCTCAAAACCCAACCCAAGCAGGGGAGCAGGCTAACATGCCCAACAGCTCTGTGTTGGTCTTGCATTTCCCCAGCACATTGCTAGAATCTCATCAGGAATGAGTGGCAGAGCAGGTGTCACCTATAAATCAAGTTAAATTGCTGTCAAATGTTATAATTTTTGCTGGGAATAGGGTTGAGTTCTAGAGTTGGAACAGCTTACCTATAAGCACGGCCTTTCAGGTAGAAAACCCAACCGTTCATTGCAGAAGAGAACTTGGAGAAGCAGAATCCGCTTCTCCACACCAGGAGCTTGGGCTCAACATAGGTGCAACAGGAACAGTTTGCATTTCTTTCAGGTTAGGTAGCATTGTTTTAAGAAGATGAAGAGGATTTAAAAGAAACATACACACACTTGTAGGGCAGCCATAGGTCGTTGCTCCCTACTTTCTAATATTTCAGGACCAAGATCCCAACTCAGCATGATCCTCCTCCTCAGGGTTTATAGCCTCTTAATTAAAATAACATATATCTTACCAACATAAAGAGAGACTGTAGGAGAAGTAGTATGCAAGTTCTCAAGCTAAATAATAGCTTATGTATTATGTCATCTTTCCGTGCACAAAATCAAAATATACTTAAAAAAAATAATTGCGGGGAACCCCTGGGCAGTTAACGCACCCATGCAGCTGTGCATTTTCAGAGCCCAGGCTGACAATTTCTTCTGACACCAGGTTGCAGATAGGGGGAAAGGGGTGTTCCGAGAGGAACAGCCGTCATTTCCAGTGAGCTCACCCTACCGCTCTCCTCATCAAATGATGTAGGAGCAACGAACAGATACCCAACATCTATAACGCTGGTAACTCATTCCCTTCGGTCCAACACATCTTCTGTGAATACTTTTCATGTATATATTCAGCTATAGGTGAAAAGAGTGGCAACGCAAGAAGTCATCCTTTTTAGTTGTGACGTTCAGCTTAAATCACACACAAAAAAACTGATTCAGTTTTATAAACACGTAACATCTCTACCTACACGAGATGTATATGGGTGAAAAATTGACAAAATTAGTTTGGGAACAGATTCTGCAGGTACACCCTATTACTTAAGGACCCAAGTATTTTCAATGAAGTCAATAAGCAGGATAAAAAGGAAATATGATTTCCCTTATCTAAAAAACCCAGAATCTGATTAAGCACATAACTGAGTGGGGTTTGGACATTTGACTCCATTCAAATCCTTTTAAAGTTTCACCCTGAAAGAACAGCAAATGATGGATCGTGCACTGGCAGATAAGGAGGCCTAAGTCCTGAAGAGTGGACTTTGGCTCACCTGATGCTGCCTTGGACACAAGAAAAGAAAATACATATTTCAGAAAGTGTCTGCAAGTACTTCACTGAATTTAGTCTTGAATAAATTTTATGGCTGAATTCCAATGAGGGCTGGCACTTCTCTGAGAATTTGTGACTATTCAAGCATCACTTTTATTGTTTTATTAACATTCTAGTGCCGTCCAAGCTTCAGATTCAACTTTAAACTTGGATTTATTGATTTATTTATATCAGGTCAACCACTCCCTTTTTGTCTTTGAACTCAAAAGTGAAATATTTAATTCAAATATTTGGGGGGGGGGGAGGGGAAGAGAGAAAAAAAATAGATGGAGCCAGTCATACAGAAACTCAGCTTCCCACTTTTGCTTAGGCAGAGAGCTGCTGAGATAAAAAATAAAAATTAAAAAAAAAAAAAAAAAATCATTCTTGTGGGAACAAGACAAAATAATCCGTAAATCTGGCTGGCTGGCTGAAGAGAACCTGAACCCAATTAACAGAATTATTTGCTTAAGCAAACCTGAATCTTACTTATGAGATAAGGGTTCAAATTTTGTATATTAGAAAAATGTGTCCGACCAATAGGGAGTGGCTAGGCTACCAAAGCCCAGGCCCCTAAACAAGCAAAACCAAAACACAGCCTGTCAAGAGTGTTTATTAAGAGAGCTCCAAGAACTGAATTAGAAAGGAAAGAAAAAAAAGAAGTACCAAAATACATTTTTAGCATGAATCCCTATACCCTAACACAGCCTAAAGCTAAAGGAGCCTATCATGGCCTCAGATGGGGAGGAGTTTGCAGAAATCTTCCTTAATTTACAACAGGAAGCAATAGGACAAATCTCTACATACTTGAACACTCCAGTTTGCTACCGGAAACCATTGATTTCCATCATAGTGACAGTTAACAGGAGGAATGGGCAATAAAGACCATGATCTGCTATAGCTTAATGCTTACTGAAAAATATCCCACAAATGCATGTCGGTATCAATTTAACCAACAAAAAAAATCCCAAACCTCCAAACCCACCACCCCCTCCCCCCAGCAAAGCAGTTAAGGCAACTCACACCATACTACCCAAAGACCTTTCAGCTACCTAGAGGATTATGTCACTCATGTATTTACATGCTCAAGGGAACCCACTTTTTTATAATTGCAGAGTGCTTCATGGGTATCTTAACACAAACTGAACATGTGAAACACACAAATAGTGTAAGGCATATCACAGTAACTCTCGACTGAATTTTCTGTTCCAGAATTCACAAGCCATCTTTATTTACATGGTTTGACCAGAACTCTGACATGACTGGGATGGAGCAGGGCAGGGCACATTGGGCATCTAGAAATTAGGTTTGCCTGAAAATGGTCCTTTTGACAGATCCCTGATGACTGACCCCTATTTTTGAGCTTACAGATTGCTTCCACAAAAAAAAATAATAAATAGCAACTCCTCCAACCTTTCAACATCTTTTGAAGGAAGACTGACTCCTCTCCAAACATCTATTGTATTAACACACTGAACAGCTAAGCTATGAATAGATGACTAAAACAAACAAGGACAAAATATGCTCAGTGAAGTACTGCACAGGACTGCTTTGCCAAAGTGTTTGCTCAATGCCCATACACTTTTGCTCCTTACTCTTCAGCAAAATCTCCCAGGCTGTAATGCTGTAAGCCCTCCCTACAGCACTGTGCCCACTTCTAAGCCTCCTGACAACAAAGGGGGTTTATGCAAAGCACAGATTCCTATTTGCAAGCAAAGGACTCCTCTCATTCATTTATACAAAAGCCATCCGTCTTTCCTGAGCGTGCCCAAGGAAACACGGCACCAAAATTCAAAGTATATTAGCTAAGGAATTATCCATGACAGTTTGGAAACTGTACAGCCGTCTCGTAAACAAAAGTAAATTCAACACCACTGCATCTGAAATGCAGGGCTAACTGGTTGACATAAGGTACACGACGATATTTTCACACAAATTCTTTAAATGCTTATATATATATGAAAATATGTGGGGTTTTATATATATATATATATATATATATATACACACACACACACACACATATATGTTTATAAAATACAAGAGCAAAATGAGAGAAGATCGAATAAAGTCCCTTTTGAGAATGTCTCTGTCTTGAACAGGATGATTTCCTTCAAATCCCTCACCACTTAGCCTCCTTCACCTTCTTTCTGAAGTGTTCAGATTTGAAATACATTGCACTCCAGTATATGATATTTGAGTCTACAGGAAGGCACGTATAGGGCATTAAAATTTTCACCTTTATGTTGGGGGCAAAAACATGCAGCTCCATTTTCAGAGGTCTAAAAGTAGCCGCTTGCCATGTTTCCCTCAGCAGAGCACTGTTGAAAGAGTAACACGCAAGATGCACAGCGTATGCCAGCCAAGTCAACATTAAGTCTGACCCATGTCAGGCAGTAATTCTTCTACAGGCTTTCCTTCCACCTAGGAGGTGCCCTCCCAGATACAGCCTACCGTGAACTAAAATGCCACCTTCTACCTGAAAGTAGTCTCTGTCTAAAAACCAAATTTTCTTCCAAAAAAGCAGACACCATGTTTCCCACTGAAGTTCCACCCTACCACACACTCTCCAAAGCCAATAAAGCAGAGAAGTTCTTAATTTTGTCAGGATTTTGTTCCGCGACATTAAGCAGCGAGTATGCAATCACTGTATGCAATTATAAACTCATCTCTATTTCACTCCAAAATGGTACTCAGTCCTAATGCTAATCTAAGAAGATCATCTGCAGGTCTAAGACATCTGAAACACACAAAAAGTCAACACAATGGCATTCATAACATTATTTGTCTGTTGTTGCTGTACTACAGCTATGGAATTTACCTTTATGAGCAACGCAGAATATAGCCTGTGAATGCCAAGAAAACATTCAATACATTTATGAAATGGAACAATATGGAAACTTAAAATGTGAAACCGAACACTGTAAATGTGCAGCACAGGTTTAAAGCACAGGTTTGTGCTGCTAAACCCAAGGAGGCTGCTGTGAAGCGCTGGCACATATAGCTGGTCTGCTGTGCTTTCTGCAGCCTACCATTAAGAAAAACATTGGACTGGAGCTGCATGGGAAGGTCACCAACTCCGACGTTTCACCACTTCATGTGCCTATTGTCTACATCAAAATCACTTGGCAGAATGATTAAACACAAAAAAAATCTGACTAAGAAAAACCACCAAGTTATGCATGAAAAATGAGATTATGGCATCGGAATGAAGGGCACTGAAAATATGCTGACGAGCAAATCACTTCCAAGTTAACTACAGTGAATGTGGCTTGGATCTGTTACTTGAAAAATACGTATTTTAACATAATGTAAATATGTTACATAGCCACTTTTTTAGTGTTTACACGCCAGCATTGAGGCTGGAAGGGTAGAGGGAAGTGACAAGCCATAACAAGCATGTCTAACCTGGCAAAGAAGCGAGCGAGCCACCTGTACATCTGGAAACGGCTTGGGAAAGGACCGCCACTTTATCCTGGGCTATTATATGCATAGTTACACATATGTAAAACAAGGAGTGGAAGACTAAAGCAGCAATTAAGGGATGAGAATATGGTCAGTTAGAGTAAAGGGTCACTGAAATAAGTATAACGCTATGGACGTGCATAATGCGTAATATCTTAACACAAAATAGTAATGCCTCAGAAAGGCAATGTTTCTATTTTCTATATCAACAAGGACTACCAATGTACGTGGCTTGAACAGCTACAATTTCAGATATCTCTAACATCCTATTAAGCAGGCAAAGGGTTTGATAGAGCTTTCAGACACAGAATAGAAACAACTGAAAAAGCTATTATAATGGCGAACATAAGCCATACAGACTGTGCTGGGCTGGCAAGGGAGTGTGCATCCCAGTGCAATCCAAAGTAAGGCTAGAGGCAGTCTGAACAGCAAGGTGGGTCTTGTACCTGCACTAGCAAGCAATCGCTCACTCGATGCAAACACTAGCAAGCAATTCCAGCACCTGTAGGTGCTACTGGCACCTCCAGTGGTTGCCACTGCGATACTGAGCCCAAGGCAGAAGTCAGTTATTTTATATTTTTAAAATGAAAGCATCAGAAAACTAGACAGCAATCACATTTTTACATTATGCTGACCCTCAATTTAAAAGACTGAAAATAGCGTTTACATTTCTGGTGCAAAAAACCATTTTCATCAAAAATGAATTAGATTTCTCACTGACAAGCTGAAATACGTGACAGCGTCCAGGAGCGCTGCATCATTGATCCCCTCCACCTGAGGTGGTCACAGCCACTTTCTGCTCTAGTGAGAACCCCAAACCTCAGCTCACACTAGGAAGAAAACAGTGTAATTCAACCTCTTGGCTTTAGTCTGTGCTCCATTTCTATACTATATTTCAGCCTGGTAAAACCCAACAGTAGCAACAGCTATTATATGACCAACCCTAACTCGTCATGGAAAGTGATTTTAAAGATTTTTCATCTGTACATCATCACCGCCCACTGAGCCAGACCCCGCCATTAGGTGACTCAGGACAAGGTGGGGGGACCCCACACCCCCAGTGCCTAACACCTCAAGAGCAGCATCTCCCCTTAGCCGGCGCGGTGATGGCTGAGCCACTCACATGGATTGAAGCAGGGTCCCTTGCTGTCGCCAGCTCTTCCACAGATGCAGCTCCTCTAAAGAAGCTGCTGAGCTGCCAGAGAGGTTCCTTCTGGGACTGGGGATCTCCCCAGGGCGACTGCTGCTCCCCTTGCACCCCTGGCAAGAGGTCCACCCCCTGCTCCTCCTCCCTGTCTGACAGTTCATGCTGCTCATGGCATTGACAGGGCTTTTTCCCTCTCCACAGGGAGCTGGTTAACCCTTTCCTTGGAATGACAGCAATACCAACTTTTCCATCTAAGGAATCCCAGTGCCTTTGCTCCCACAGCTACTGCCCCGAGTTTGGCTGGCAACAGCAGCAAGCAAGCCACACCCTCCATGTCTGCACCTGATGCTTTCTGCCTCGGCTTTCCCTGCTAGACAGCTCTATTTCAGAAATACCCCCTGCGAGTAATAAAGCAATCTTTCAGCAGCTCTGCCATCACTTGCTCTTCACAATAAGTACTGTTTTCCACCTCTCTAAATTTGCTAGTGTAAGACCAGTTTTACAGAGTTATAATAATTTACCATATAACCCTCAGCTATGTAAAGGTTATTGCCACAGAAAATCAGTTGGCTCAGGCTTTCATCAGCGTTTAAAAAAAATGACTACTTAAGTCTGCAAATTGAAATATAACATCTAATTAGGAATCCTCTGATTAATCATTATTCTTTGCCATCTTGGATGTTGCTTTGATAAATGAAGCTTAGGAGTCTTACAAAGTCTTAACTATCAATATTCCAGATGGCCAAGAGTGGTACAGAGTTTCTCTGGGTGTGTGGAGCAATATCTATATTATTTGTGGCTCTAAATGCACACACACACCCCAAGGTCGCCTTAACATCAGCTCACCATGATGGCAGCTCCACAACCAAATGAGGCATGCTACTCACGCAACCCCTGTCCCGGGCAGCAGGTTCTCATGAACGCCATTCGGTACCTAGGGCTACGAGACCGCTATCACAATCAGGAGATGAGGCCCCAGAGCCTAAAATTAGAAGAGACTCCTGTTGTCACCCTGTGAAGCTTTAGAGCCCAAGGAGGTGTCTCCTAAGCTACCTACAAAGACAGCATTTAGAGCACATCCAAAGGACTATGTATCTAAGTGAAGCCAACAAGCCGTTGTGCCAAATGAAATAAAGTTTTCCTCATAAGGGAGGAGCGAATGGAATAACAGTGTGATAAAGCACCACAGAATAACGATGGGGAACAAGTGCCCATCCTCATAAGGATTCAGGCAAGCAACTCCACTGAACCAAACCTATTTTACTTATTTGCAAAGACATAGCACGCATTTCCAGCCAGCCCATGGCGCAGAGCGCAACAGCCTGCAGTCACTAACCCGGCAGAGCCATCTCTGCACACACTCCCTTCCCTACTGCGCCATAGGGAGCCGCTCCAGCCACAGCGATGAAGCTTAACTGCACTGCTGAGCAGCTTCTGATGCCTTTTTTTTATTTTTATAAATTATTTCTGCAGGGTTGCAGTCCATTGGGAAAGATTCAGCTTTACCAAGCTACAAACAGCAGCTTGCAACAGTTTACACAAAACCAGGATAAAGCTGCTTCCCCTCTGTAGACATGTTCTCCTGCTTTCAGAAAGTCATGGCATCTCTCTCATGTCCAGCAGGGAAATCCTCCTGTGTCCTATGATAAGGACTTCAGCTTTTAAACACTCCTGAACCGTTTGCATCCTCCCTCTCCCACCCAGTTAGCATTGTCACAGCTGGTTAGCACAGCAATCTACGATGAGAACACCAACTTCCTGGCATCCCAATCTTCAGTGGTGGGAAAAGACAGATATTGAACAGCACAAACTATATCTATAAAAATTAAATTGCACATAAACCCATCATCTGGTGCACACGAGTGTTTGGGTGTCTGATGGAACCACCTCTAAATCCAGTGTGAGAGATTAGCATACAGCAAATCAGAAAATGCAATTTTGACCTTGAGGAGGGTTTGCACACTGCAGGATTTCACAGAACCATATGTGTGCTGGCCCGATTCACTAAACCTCTTGGAGAAGGCAAGTGGTCTCAAGTACCTTTCAAAATCAACCAGTTATTACCAAGTTTCATTTGGCAAGATTTTTGCTCCTAACAAGCAGCTGGAGGAGAGGAATACAAACCCATTTTGGGTCTACACTTCTGGAGACTGAGAGATGGATCCGATCAATGTATCTACTACGTAAGCCTAACTACTCTTACTGCTCCTTCTAAGTGGCCAAAGAAATAAAAGCAACCTTATCTGTAGCTAATCTTTGCAAATTTTAGTGCAGCCTTCTTCCAAGGATTCACACCCCAAGTGTGCAGGCTGCGTCTTTTGGTAATGCACGAGAGCCAAACCACACAGCTCACGATCTGCTTTTGTAGCAACCAGACAGAAAAGAAATACCTGGGAAAGTCTTTGACAAACCAGTCGGCTTAACATAATCTATCCTGAAAAAACCCCCTCCTGTAATTCTCAGTTTCACTAAACAAAGTAGAACAGAATATAACCACAGCTGCCAAAGCCTTTGGCAAGTCTCGTTTCTCTGCAGTCAGTGATTTGCAATCTGATAGCATCTTACAGACTCAAGAGTTTTTTCAGATATTTGCAGTACAGCTCACGTAGATAAATACATTTATCAGCTGGGGGTGAGAATGTTGGAGAGGATATTTTATTCAGTATAGAGATCGTTTTAGACTGACTTCTCCAGCCTAACCTCACCTGAAAATGCAGCAAACCCATTTCCACAGTTCCCATCTGGGGATTACCAGACCTTGCAGAGCTCCAAAGCGCAGATACAAAGCTCCTCCGGCTGACTAGAACTAAATATTGCTATCTTTTCCCTTTTATATCTTCAGGTAACCTGTCACTCACACAAACAGAGAGAATCTGTGCTGGAAGCCTGAATCAAACCATCCTCCACCATATAAATAAGTGTTTAGGCAGTAACCTAAAAGTTAGTCCTTTCAGCTTTGTGGGAAACTTGACTGAGCCTGAGAAGTCCCCATTTAGGAGGCAGGACTAGAGCAAAGACTTTTCCCTGCTTGTTCTTCCCAAGTTTTATGTATTTTTGGCTGATGGAGACAAATCAGTAACAAAGATTACTGAAAATATCTCATGCAGCTGCAGTGCCATCAAACACAATCCAACCACCAAGTTGCAAGCTTATAAATAAACCTGCAGCAGGTTTGCATAACCCAGAGCTCAGATAACTTAACTTCCACAACATGCTACACATTCCACAGTACTGTCACCTCATCGAAATACATTTTTAAACCTTCAAATTACAAAATCCCAGTAACAAATGAAGGACGGTTACTCACACAGGTTACTTTCCGGTAAATTTGAGCAGCATTCTGGCATTCTGAGTAAGGGTATTCTGAGGTAGCCATTTCCAACATGCACATTCCAAAAGCATAGACATCCACAGATTCATCGTAGTGTTCCTCATACATTTCCGGGGCCATGAATTCTGGTGTTCCTACACAGACATGCACAAAAAGAATGTTAATTTTTTATACAGTCTAAATGACTTTAACCACTATCTGCTTCACCTATTAAGTGTGCCCCTTATAGCCGCATAAGGGTGCATACAAGATCATTTCAAAAGACGGAAGTAACTAGGATAAGCTCAAGCATCCTCCAGGGAAGAAACCCAAAGTCAGCACGCACGCTTACATATCCATGGCTCGCCGGTAATAATATGAGGCAGGGGAGAGGGAAAAAAAAAAGAAAGAAAAAGAAAAAAGAAGTATCTTAAGGGTGGAAGTCACAAGGATGGAGCCAGACTCTTTGCAGTGGTGTCCAGCGACAGGACAAGGGGCAATGTGTAAAAACTGAAACATAAGAGGTTTCAGTTGAATATGAGGAAAAACTTTACTCTGAGGGTGACAGAGCACTGGCACAGGCTGCCCAGGGGGGTTGTGGAGTCTCCTTCTCTGGAGATACTCGACCCCGCCTGGACGATGTCCTGTGCACCCTGCTCTAGGAGAACCTGCTTTAGCAGGGGGGTTGGACTAGATGATCTCCCAAGGTCCCTTCCAACCCTTGCGATTCTGTGATATCAAAATTTCAAAAATGAACAAGAGAATGAGATACGGCACATTGCCTGACCATACTTGAAGCCATGAAATCGTTTCTTTTTTCCAGGTGGAGAGAGGATACGTACAGGCTCATGGAGGCAAAAAGAAGAAACAAGAACCTTCACTCTTGTTTTTATCAATGCAAATTTGCATTTCTTTTTCCTCCAGAGATACAGAGCAACCACCTGGCAGACAGACAGCACTTTGAAAGCAAGTACTATCACATATCACCTACAAAGTCATGCACAAAACATTAAACATAATTCTGTCACTGGTTTAGTGGGACAAATCAATGAGGCTACTCACAGAATAAGGTCCTACACAAGGGGGATTAGGGTGTCAGAGATCTGACGCAACTGGGCAAATATGAAGTGAAGCACTGTACTTACTGCTTCATACTGGCAAGTTGCAGCTTTGTGACAAGTGGTGACTTACAATGCCTGCAACTTTGCACAGCAAACTACTCTGAAAAGTGTGGTCTTCATAAAGCAAAAGGGAAAAACATTAACACTTATGTGATTTATTCCAGGAACTGTGCCTTATAACGTAGTTTATGCTTAGGAGTCAAGACTAATTTATTTCCTTTTTACATTTAGACAAGATGAAGGAAGAGAGATCAATGCAGTCGCGTGTTGTGGGAGAGGAGCAATGAGCCGTCAGCACTGGGACGCCAAAAGGATTACGGGAGGTCTGGGACCACGTAAAGGACGTGGACAAACTCTGCCCATCCAGCCCAGCAGCAGCTTCCCCAGCACCCAAACTGCCCCCGAGCCCCGCCGCAGCCTGGCGGGCCCACTAGTTTTTTGTTATGACATCTCTCCATCAGCAGCAAAAACATAACTGTCATTAAAGTAACATACTCTGGGAAAAAATAGTGCTCGTGGATGTTTGGGGACTTGACATAAACTTTTTTTTTTTAATGGTAACATAAACAATGGCTCTCAAAATTAGGGTCTCTCTGTAAAAACCTCTGCTTTTGCACATTTTCTGAAGTAGACGTGGCCTAACTCACAAAACAGGTCTCAGCAGGAGCATTTCTGTAAAATCCATTTTGCAAAATTCAGAATCAATCTCTCCCCTTGTTTACGTTCCTTCCACCTCAAAGCTACTCATTCTTTCAGCTTTTGTGAATCAGCTGGACCCATGTCATGAAAGCTTAACTAAAAATAAAAAAACCCAAACCCTAAGGTTTTTCTCCCAGCTGCCACAGAGGCAGTGGCTGCTGCTCTGAACCAGTTAACAACTGCCATACAGAACGTTTTTTGGAACTGCTGCTGCATTTTAGAAGGAACAAGACTCAGAGGCAGGAGTGAATCTCATGAATTATGGAGCATTCAAAGCAAAGCTGAAAAAGTGATAGCGATAGTCTAAAAAAGCAAAGGAAATTCTTGACACCGTTCCAGAATAGCATGAAAATGACATTTTCCCCCCATCCCTTGGGGGTGGGAAGGAATACATACGAGTATGCTTAAACAAAACAGACCACCTAAATGCAAAGCTGCTCAGGATCTATTCAGCTCCTCTTGGCAGACAGAGTTTTGCCCTGGCTTGGCTCCCTGCAGAGATACACTGCAAGGTCAGCTGAGCATCAGCAATGGCACGAACACAGCAAGGGAAAAATTGGACCTCAGCCACGCTGACTTCATGCCGTTCAGACTGCTGTAAAATTGCAGCTACTAATATTCCTTTAGATCTACTACACCTACGGAGGGGGCAGAACTGCTCATCTCACCAGGGCTTCCAAGCCTTCTGAATTCGTTCCATGGGGCAGCGCTACTCATGAAAAAGATAAGCTCGGTTATATTGCCAAAACCAACACAGACACCTCGCCAGCAACCTGCAGCCCTTTTCAATACTGAATTTCTTTTAGACATGAGCGTGCTTTGATGGTGCTGCAGTAACAACTGATTTTATCAAAACTTGTCTTGGTATTACTGATATTATTCCCAGTATTGGTATTTTTCCATTATGTCTCATGGAAAATTGTTAAGACTGCAAAAAAATTATGTGAATAAATACTGACCCTCAACAGAAAAAACCCACCAGTTATTAGAGGTTAAAAACTAGAGCAACTTAACAGATATAAACCAACAGGATTTCACTAAAATCAACAAGGTTAAGCAGACCCGCAGTAGCCAAGCACATATTCAAAATTTCTATCACTTTGACTTCAGCAATACTGGGCTCCCTGAGCATTAAGGTTTGTACTTTTGTACAAATAACTGTAAAGGATTATAATATCTGAAAAATTGAGATGTTAAATAATTAAGTAACTACTGCTTGAAAGATAGGATGTTATTTTCATATATAGTAAGGGAACAGTGGTTTGTCACTATCAGTTTGCTAACTCTAATGACCTAGAATCTAATTTCCATTTATACTGTAAGCTGAAATATGATTATGTGCATAATAACTTTCCCCACTTTCAGCATCAATATCTCGGGAATTTGCAGCTTCCTAGAGCCATCACCTACAGATCTGAATAAGGGAGATTTGCTATGGAAGCCTGGTAAAAACCACAAAATGTCTGACAATTCAGGAAAGCATTACATTTACACAGAAAACATTAAACTTAACTTTTGCAAGGAAATGATGTCCTTTGACAGCCATTCAGAAAACGTCCTCCCGGTTCAAGCAAACCCAAGTTCTAACACTCCTCAAAGGGCACCATCTAAGGGCATCAGCTATTGCATATACTAGCAGAAATTTCTCTTAATTTCATACCTACTGATTTTTGATAATTTGCAGACATTGTTTCAGCAGAACTCTGCCAGGACAGTGTTGAGGCAGGGACGAGCTCTGCAGTTGCCTGCAGAAGCAGCCTGTTCTGCTGATGCCCTGCTATATGGGGATAAGGTGTTCCAGCCAGAGCAGCTCCCCTGCGACCTTCTCTGTAAAGGAGAGAAGCCAGCTCCCCAGGGCACCACTGTCTCTCCCTTCAGCAAAAGCAACCGTCCCTATCCCAGCATCGCTGGAAGCAGATGACTTCCTGGGGGCTCTCCCAAGCTTTTGCAGCACTCCCTCGCTTGGGAGAGAGCAGGGCATCCTTTCTCTTCCCTCTCCTCTCTCTTTTCTTCTCCTCCCCCAGCAGGCACTGAGCCTGTCCTCAGGAGGACGATGCACACAGGCTACTGAGAACCCTTGCTGCTCCTTTTGGCAGAGAGAGGAGAAGGATTTGTGGATACCAAGTAGTATCCCAATTAAAAAGCAAACAAAAAAAGTGTTTAACCGTTGTGACACAGAAGAAAGGAGAAGAGGCAGTCACGATACCATTTCCTACTGATTGAGACTTTTTATAGTGGTTTAAAGGGAACAGTCACAAAACCACTTTAATCTCTACTACCAACCTACAAGTGAAAAAACTACTAATGCAGAACGTGAAAAAAGATATTAAAAAGACAGCCGCCACACCAACAGAAGGAAGCCAAGGAGAACAGGAGGATTACCTATTACACTTTTGGCAAACGAAGCTCTCTTGAGGGTTGCCAGACCCAAGTCTCCTATTTTCACAGATCCAGTTGGTCCAGTAATAAAAATATTGTCACATTTTAAGTCTCTGTGAATTATTGGTGGAGTTCTTGTGTGCAAGAAAAGAAGACCCTTCAGGATTTGCCGGCACCAACTACGCAGGACTTTTGGTTTCATCACTTTAAACCTCTTCAGATACCTAGAGCACAAACACACACGGAAGTGGGGATAAAGGAAATGAAGCGTTACTAGAGAATCTAGGGGCTTTAACAGCTGACACTCCATTCTGGATAAAAGCCCCTTATTAAATGCCATAATAGCAGCTCAGAAATATCACAAGATGGAAAGAAATAGATCTTTTCAAAGGAGGAATTAGAGCATTCATTTTTAGGGAGGAAGATAATAAGCATTTTTGGTGCAAATACAACCAAATATTTGCAAGTTAATAGTACAGCAATTCATTTCATGCAGGGAAGAGCTTTAGAATATGGTTCGTATATTCAAATCAGAAGAATACTGAAGTTTAATTTTAACCACGAGACTTTGACCTCTGTACTATGCGCCTGTATTTTTGCCATTTACCTAAAACACTGGTTGGGAGGGTACATTTTGGAAAAATGTAAAACCTGCTAACGCATCAGCATAGCAGCACACTGGATATATGCATTGACGAGTACTGCTCCCATTGGGGCTGAAAATCTGTTCCAGAATTCATGCCAACTGTTTTATATCAACCTTAACAAGACTGTCAGTACCAAAAAGCTATTAATTAATATTGTTTAGTAGATAACCTAGGGCACCTTCTTCAAAAAGAGATTCCACCAGCCTAGTGCCAGTCTATCTGAATTTTCTAACAAAACATGCAAATACAAGCACAAAAGCACTCACAAAAACACACCCTGACAAATTAAAACGTCATGGGCAGAAGATGAAACACGCCA